ATACCGGCATCATGATCATGAGTTTCAATTCAAAAGAAGCAGTCTATTGGAGCATTACGTTTCCTCGTTATCTCCGTCCGTCTCGGATGAGGTGTCACTTCCGGATGCAGAACCGGGTCCCTGCTGACGGGCGCGCATTTCACTGATCATCACCGATGTGTCGCGTTGTTTGCTGCTCTGTTTTGAATTTTGCTTCTGTTGCGGACTGCTCCATTGATCGCTTTTTTTGCGCTTACGGATCTTTTTTGTGAGTTTGCTGAGTATTTGCCCCAAGAGGTTTTTACCCGGCCACGCTTGCTGCTTGGTATTTTCTGTTCCTGTCTTGTTGAGCCCTGTCCCCCAGGTGTCGTATGTAGATTCGGCTAATATCACATTTCTTTTGACCGATCGTAGTTTTTCCCGGAACTGCTGCACCTGAGCGCATTTATTATCGATCACTTCGGCCATGACGGCTTCACATGTAGAAGACCACTGATCGATGATCCTGACTTTGTCACCGAGTCGTTTGGCAGAAAGAGCATCGTCCGCTTCTAAGATGCTTTTGGCTGCATCGATGTCGCCACACCGCGTTGCCTTAGCATATTGGAAGGCATGCTCAGCCGATTTGTGACGAAACCCGTAAAGGTTGATTTCGCAGGGGAAGAAATTTGATAGCACGTTATCTTCTCCATTGAATGCGATCACATTTTGCAGAGGCTCGTAGAATCTGCATTTAGGATCTCCAGGTGAATGATCTCGCTCCAAACACACCTTGCATTTAGGTTCGTTTTTACAGTTGCCCCTGGTGTGATCCGTGTCCCAGCAGTTGGTGCACACAAGTTTCCTTTCGTGTTTTGGTTGCCCATAGTGCAAGATGAGGCATCTTAGCCCCGCGCAGTATTGTACTCTAGCAAGAGATGTTCCCGGAGGGAGGGGTGCTACGTAAACGAAGCGGTTTCCACTCAATACACTCGTCATGCTCTTTGTGACTGGATGTCTGATTTTTTCATAAAGAATCTTGCTTTTCAGATCTAATTTGAGCTTTTCTATAAGCTCTGTCACAGAGGTGTCAGATACCGAAAGCGGTAACCCACATATTCTGATTTTTAAAGTTTTTTCGTTCGGGTTATGATTTCCTGAGGAATACGGATTTGTTTCGAAAAAGGACAGGGATATGTTGTTGATCTCGCATCCCTCTGAAAGAAGCTTGTCTCTGCTTTCTTTGTCTTTAAGATAAAAACGCCACAGGTTTCTATCAAGCTGTAAGCAATGTAGGGAATTGCCCACTTTGGCAGTAACGCTTTCCATAAGACCAAAGTCTGTGATCCGACCTTTGTCTTTGCATTGAATATCTAATTCCTTTAGATATAACGGTTTAATCGTTGGTTCTGAGAGCTGCTCTGAGAGCTGTTCAACCATGACGGTACTTGTAGTCGTACAGGTAGCTAACATACAATGCAGGTAGTGCAGATGAGTAGGTATTGGCGTTCAGATTTTAGAACGCAGTTCTCAGTTCGCTATTCGCAATTCAAAAGTGAACTGCGTTCTAGAACGCAGTTCACAATTCAAAATTTTAACTTAAACTGTATGGTCTGAAATTTTGGGGGTGGGGTACTAGGGGCCAGATACCACTTCTATGAAAAAATGGTGATGGTACCATCTCTAGTTTCCGAGATATGGTCCTCTAGTTTTTAGCCCTACTATATAATACTATACGAATAAACATCGGGCTCGGGGACATCGAAGTCCCCTACCCTGGGGTCTGAAATTTTGGGGGTGGGGTACTAGGGGCCAGATACCACTTCTATGAAAAAATGGTGATGGTACCATCTCTAGTTTTTGAGATATGGTCCTCTAGTTTTTAGCCCTACTATATAATACTATACGAATAAACATCGGGCTCGGGGACATCGAAGTCCCCTACCCTGGGGTCTGAAATTTTCGGGGTGGGGTACTAGGGGCCAGATACCACTTCTATGAAAAAATGGTGATGGTACCATCTCTAGTTTCCGAGATATGGTCCTCTAGTTTTTAGCCCTACTATATAATACTATACGAATAAACATCGGGCTCGGGGACATCGAAGTCCCCTACCCTGGGGTCTGAAATTTTGGAGGTGGAGTACTAGGGGCCAGATACCACTTCTATGAAAAAATGGTGATGGTACCATCTCTAGTTTCCGAGATATGGTCCTCTAGTTTTTAGCCCTACTATATAATACTATACGAATAAACATCGGGCTGGGGGACATCGAAGTCCCCTACCCTGGGGTCTGAAATTTTGGGGGTGGGGTACTAGCGGCCAGATACCACTTCTATGAAAAAATGGTGATGGTACCGTCTCTAGTTTCCGAGATATGATCTTCTAATTTTTAGCCCTACTATATAATACTATACGAATAAACATCGGGCTCGGGGACATCGAAGTCCCCTACCCTGGGGTCTGAAATTTTTGGGGGTGGGGTACTAGGGGCCAGATACCACTTCTATGAAAAAATGGTGATGGTACCATCTCTAGTTTCCGAGATATGGTCCTCTAGTTTTTAGCCCTAGTATATAATACTATACGAATAAACATCGGGCTCGGGGACATCGAAGTCCCCTACCTTGAGGTCTGAAATTTTCGGGGTGGGGTACTAGGGGCCAGATACCACTTCTATGAAAAAATGGTGATGGTACCATCTCTAGTTTCCGAGATATGGTCCTCTAGTTTTTAGCCCTACTATATAATACTATACGAATAAACATCGGGCTCGGGGACATCGAAGTCCCCTACCCTGGGGTCTGAAATTTTGGGGGTGGGGTACTAGGGGCCAGATACCACTTCTATGAAAAAATGGTGATGGTACCGTCTCTAGTTTCCGAGATATGGTCCTCTAGTTTTTAGCCCTACTATATGATACTATACGAATAAACATCGGGCTCGGGGACATCGAAGTCCCCTACCCTGGGGTCTGAAATTTTGGGGGTGGGGTACTAGGGGCCAGATACCACTTCTATGAAAAAATGGTGATGGTACCGTCTCTAGTTTCCGAGATATGGTCCTCTAGTTTTTAGCCCTACTATATGATACTATACGAATAAACATCGGGCTCGGGGACATCGAAGTCCCCTACCCTGGGGTCTGAAATTTTGGGGGTGGGGTACTAGGGGCCAGATACCACTTCTATGAAAAAATGGTGATGGTACCGTCTCTAGTTTCCGAGATATGGTCCTCTAGTTTTTAGCCCTACTATATAATACTATACGAATAAACATCGGGCTCGGGGACATCGAAGTCCCCTACCCTGGGGTCTGAAATTTTGGGGGTGGGGTACTAGGGGCCAGATACCACTTCTATGAAAAAATGGTGATGGTACCATCTCTAGTTTCCGAGATATGGTCCTCTAGTTTTTAGCCCTACTATATAATACTATACGAATAAACATCGGGCTCGGGGACATCGAAATCCCCTACCCTGGGGTCTGAAATTTTGGGGGTGGGGTACTAGGGGCCAGATACCACTTCTATGAAAAAATGGTGATGGTACCATCTCTAGTTTTTTTACAAGTCAAATATTCATACGTTTTAGTTTACAAGCTTTGTTAAATGAGGTAGGTATGAATCAAAGAACATGTATTTGTTGCCAAAAGATAATAAGTTTTGCATTTTATAGAATACATTCTGACATAAATTATTCATTTAAAGAGAGAAAGAGAGAGACAGAGGGTGATATTAATTGCAAAATTTCAATCAAACAAGAGATTTGAAATTTGCATTAACAATAATCCATAACAAATAAATCAAAAGAATTACTGTCAGATACACAAAACGCAAAGTTTCATAATTAGAAAATGCATTAATTTTGCATAATTTGTCGCAGTTACGGTATCTCAAATGTAAGGTAACTCTCAACGTTGTTGGCAGGAAAATTGAGCTGTTGAACATTTCCTGACGTTGGAGATGATTTATTGTAAAAATTGTCTAACTCAAAACATATGTTAAACGTATTTTTGAAATAATCATATGTTGAACATACGTTAAACATATTTTAAACATATGGTTACCACAAACATATGTTCAACATATGTTTTGAGTCGGATATATGTTCAACATATGTTTTAAACTTATGTTCAACATAGGTTTTAAACTTATGTTCAACATAGGTTTTAAACATACGTCAAACATGCTGTGGAAAATTCATATGTTTAACGTATGTTTAACTTATGTTCAACATATGGTTCTCAAAACATATGGTTAACATACGTTGCAATTTTACCTGTGTAGTGTAGAATCGGTTTAATTAGTTTTAATAAGGAACAAGTCCGTAGACAATGTTTGAAATTTTACAAGTCAAATATTCATACGTTTTAGTATACAGTTGCTATGAATCAAAGTACATGTATTTGTTGCCAAAAAATCATAGGTTTTGCATTTTATAGATATACATTCTGACATAAATTATTCATTTAAAGAGAGAAAAAGAGAGACAGAGGGGGATTTTAATTGCAAAACTTCAATCAATCAAGAGATTTGAAATTTGCATGAACAATAATCCATAACAAAAGAATCAAAAGAATTACTGTAAAGATACACAAAACGCAAATAATAAGAAAATGCATTTGCATAATTTGTCGCAGTCATGGTGTTGCGAACTCAAAACGGTTTTTTTATCGAAATAATCTAATTATTTGAAGTGTTAATTAGGAAGACTCTTCTTGGAGAAAGATAATTCACTGTTATATAATTCACTGGACGACGCAAAAGATTGAACGCTCAATGACATAAAAAGTATGTACTTTTTATTTTAGGTATGGCTAATTGGGGAATAACCCATTAACCCACTAAAGCATTTAATTTTCGTCAAAAAGCTTCAAAGTCAGGATTAACCTTACAAATAACTAGGTCCTACTGGTTTTTCCATTGATAAAAATTTTAATTAAATTAAGATTGATATTCTACGAATTATAAATGAGAGTGGGAAATATACTGTAGTACTTTCCGTGATTTTAGTTAATATAACAGCAGGCATGGATGTCCAGGCTTATTACTTTGTTTTGCTTTCCAACAGGTCGTTTTAAATCAATCAGTTACAGGAATGAAGGAAGCTGGATTTTTCTTGTTTATTATTTTCACATCTATTTCATCTTGTCTTGCCAAAAAGTAAGTAATCAACAATGAATTAACACTATTCTTTTAGGCTGCGCTGCCAGTTTTTTTTCTGCTCACTGTCTGACGCTAGTGTCAGTTTGATTGTAACACCATCCAAAACAGATGGACCAATTTAAGTCAAACACTATAAAATTTATGATCGAATTATTTATTCTTTGATATACTAAAAATAATTTTCAAACCTTTTATTAGATCAGTTGAACTGGATGAAGAGAAATAGTACAAGATTAGTAAATATCCTGATATAGAAATATGCATTTGATTTTATTAATTCCTATTTTCTTTCTAGATTATTTTAGAAATCATCGAAAATCATGTTTCCTTTCTCATAAGTTTAGCTTCATGGAACTGTATGGCATAAATTGTATTTGATTTATATTTTCATATTATAAAACAAAGCTGAAGAGAAATATAAATTATGATTATTTTATTTCTTTAATTTTCTATTTTAGCTCTTACCTTGTTATGTTTCCTAACACTATCCGTCGCGGCCTGAACATGAATGTTCTTGTCCAGCTCCTGGACACTACAGGTTCCCCTGGTACAACGATGGACGCCACGAGTGGTGGTCTCGAAACCACGGTGGTGGTCAGTCTACTGGACCATGATAATAACACTGTCGTATCTGAACGGAGGATAATTGGTACGATAAAGACGAGGAGTCTTAAAAATTATAGTAGACTTCAAACTTAATGATGATTTTATGCGCTGGTCATATATTAACTTTTTAGAAACTACATCTGTAAATCAATTGGGTTTTATTCTTATAATCCTTATAAAAACTTTTTAAAAATTTAAAAATAATGACAACGCTTTTAAAGGAAAATAATGTAAACATTTCATGCTTTGGTCAAGATTTCTACACTTTTGATATTTTATAGTATTTTACAATGCAGTATTTATTTTTTTTAATGTAGATTCAGTCAATGCAACATTGCAATCAATTCCTTTAAAGGTACGTTTCTATACTATTATTATAAATTCCATATGGATTAAAACATTTATTGCTAAAAGACATATTACGGATTCTATATGACTTTGTATATTGTACATATACTTAATATATCTTTATATATTAAGTCATGTCAGCCCCCTGTGTCCTGCCCTCGGCAAAACATTTCGCAAGTTCTTTGACTGATACAATTATCTTGACAGTATATGCAGTCTATCATTATGTCGAATACTGACATATATTTTCACTTCTAAATATTAGATCACTAAATTTTCTACGGATTGTCCTATTTTCCCCTGACAAATTCTTTAGAAGGACGTTAAGCAATATATTTCATCAATCAACACCGGTTTTCCCTGTTAGGGAGGCAGTTCATTTCGCCATGGCACCTGATCCAATCTTTGCTCTTAATTTGTATTATTTACATAGGTTGATGAGGTTGATGCCGTTCGTTTTCTCTATATTTAATTATCATATTATAAGCTTTAGTTTCAAGCCAACACAAATGTTTCGTTAAGGTTGAAATATTATTGTTTGTCGGACAGATTCCTTTAAGTTTAAGTCCTCCTGGAGTGACGGAGTATGCTATTGAGGTACACGGAGAAGGTGGAGTTAACTTTAGTAACCAAACAAAAGTATCCCTCCGTAGAAAGACCCATTCTGTGATGATACAGACGGATAAGGCCATCTACAAACCTGGACAAAACAGTAAGCTTTACCTATCTCAATACAAACCTTGACAAACCAGTTAGCTTTATATATCTCACTACAAACCTGGACAAACAAGTAAGCTTTACCTATCTCAGTACAAACCTTGACAAACCAGTAAGCTTTATCTATCTCAGTACAAACCTTGACAAACCAGTAAGCTTTACCTATCTTACTACAAACCTCGAGAAACCAGTAAGCTTTATCTATCCCAATACAAACCTGGACAAAACAGTAAGCTTTATATATCCCAATACAAACCTGGACACACCAGTAAACTTTATCTATCTCAATATAAAACCCAGACAAACCAGTAAGCTTTATCTATACCAACACAAACCTGGACAAACCAGTAAGTTTGGACTATACCAACACAAACCTGGACAAACCAGTAAGCTTTATCAATCCCAATACAAACCTGGATAAACCAGTTAGCTTTCTCTGGCCCAATACAAACCAGGACAAACCAGTAACTTTATCTATCTCAATATAAACCTGGACAAGTAAGCTTTATTTATCCCAATACAAACCTAGACAATCCAGAAAGCTTTATTTATTCCAATACAAACCTGAACTAACCAGTAAGCTTTATCTATCCCAATACAAACCTGGATAAACCAGTTAGCTTTCTCTGGCCCAATACAAACCAGGACAAACCAGTAACTTTATCTATCCCAATACAAACCTGGACAAACCAGTAAGCTTTATTTATAACAATACAAACCTGGACAAACCAGTAAGCTTTATTTATCCCAATACAAACCTGGACAAACCAGTAAGCTTTTCCTATCCCATTAAAAACCTGGACAAACCAGTAAACTTTATTTCCCTTGTTAAAAAGCTTAAGATTCAATTTAAAACCAAAAATTACATACATGTTTCTATCCGATGTGAGTTTTTTAAATATAATAAGTATTTTTTTCACCATGGCTTTTGGCGAAGAAATCCACACAAAAACTGAGCAAAAAATCTAATCTGAACACAACGAGCATTAAATTATTTTTTTACCCATGATAAATAAAATACAATTTAAATTGATTTTAAGGGGCCTACTATAGTTTTAATGCGTAAAAATTACAATAGCGAAACTCTTTATTTTTATACCATATATAATGACATTAACTTTAGTGTTCATGGGGAAAATCTACCGTCAAGGTATTTCTAAGGAAACATCTCAAAATATAGGTACATTTGCTATGGAATTATATAGGAAAGTGCCAATTTTTAGCATTTTAAAGCAAATTATGAAGAGATTATCAAATTCCTATGTAGTAAATTTCAAGAGCGTATGTTTATTACTTTTTATTTTATAACATTTTTATTAACTTATATTATTACCTTTTATTACCTTCATTGGACACCAAGGGCTTTCATATTTCATATATGTAATCTTTGTGAGAAGACCCTTCATTGGACACCAAGAACTTTGACCCTTTGACCTTGACCTTTGAGATTGACCTACTTTATAAATGCAATCCTTGACCAAAACTTTTAAAGAGTTAGGGTTAGTGATTTCATACTTTACATATTTGATCCTTATAACAAGCCCTTTCATTTAATAACAATAACTTTGACCCTTTAACCTTGACCTTGGAGTTTGACCTACTTTTTAAGAAATTGAACGTTCACCATAACTTCTGAACGGTTAGGGCTAGGGCTTTCATGCTCGACACAAGTATTTTATGTGGCAAGACCTTTCAATTGATAATAATTACATTGACCTTTTGACCTTGACCTTGGAGATTTTTGTACTTATTAAAAAACTTTAACATTAGTTTACTTTCTAATTTCACAATTGTTTTCCAGTGAGAATTCCTTACTTTTGGTACCAATTAATTAAATTTACATTTAAGAAAAGCTTAATCTTTGCTATGTTGCCATACGGGGGCATCAGTGTTTTACAAACACATCTTGTTTATTTTATTTTTCAGTTCATTTTCGTATTTTTGGATTTTACCCAGATCTTTCCATAGTGAATGAAAATATAGATGTAGCCATATTTGTAAGTACCTCAATATATGTGAAAAGCATAAAAGGTGTTAAAATCTTTTATTGATGTTGTCTTACAACCACAATGTTTTGATTTTTTTTTCAATTTCAATAAGGATCCCCATGGATATAAAATCGCTCAGTGGAAGAATAAGGTTCCTGATAATGGAGTGTTTACAGACAGTTTAGTCATGTCCGACCATCCTGTACTCGGGGAGTGGAAAATAAAGGCTGTACAAGGGGTGAGATAGGCTCTTATTTGCTTGTTTCCTCACTTATTTTTAATCCTGTCCTATAATTGTTAATGTCTTTGTCAAGTATAATCTTTTTTTATCAAAGCATAGGTATGAAATATTTAAGGAATGTTCTGGTGTATAAATCATAAGGACTTGTGACATACATGTAGGTATATTTCATAAAAATGTACCAGCGTGTAAGTCTGTGTGATTTGCACACCAATAATTAACAATAATTTAAAAACATTCTATATATATATATTTACATCTTACATGTTTAAAAGCTGGTACAATATACTCAGTATTTGAATTTCTCGTTTGGCAATATCGTTACATTATTTTTTACGTTTCTTCAGCCTCGGTGTGACGACACTTTAGCGGGAGTTTATCTGTGCACACCAAATGTGAGTATGCACAAAATAGTGTTCAAATTCATTCACAGATGGCTTTATTGAAGAACACAACAAATGTAAATATCAAGAAATGAATTCCTTTCACCGCCTTTGTTTAGATACAAATGTCCTATTATTAAATCTGCAAATTTAACTTGTTTAACCAACTTTTCTACAGAACTTTTTTTTTACAGTTTATAATATGTTATACGTATACATGATGTAATTATTTACAAAGAAGGGTTTTTTTTTTTAGTTTTTATCTTATCTTATGATAAGAACGTTAACGTTTTGATTCAGACTGAAACTCAGACTAAGACAGTAACTGTGGATGAATATGGTAAAAATTTTTTTTTTATTTCAGACTGAAACTCAGACTAAGACAGTAACTGTGGATGAATATGGTACAATAAATATATATTTGATAAAATTAAATAATAATTTTAAAAATTATCAGGAAATTGGAAATGCACTGTTTACATTCGTTTTTACCAATGATATTGTAATACATTGTACATGTCTATAGATTATTTTTTAACAACACCTTTACTCAATTTGTCAATTAATTTCGTTCCGGTAAATCTTATTTTTACTTTTACATTTTATTCTAGTTAATTTAAACTTGAAATTGTGAGGAATTTCACAGTTAAGGATTCCTTTTTTTTTTTAATTATGATTATTTATTTCATTGATTAGATGTCTTGTTGTTGATACTGTATAAGCATTTAAATTTCTTTTTGTAAAGCTATTACTTATTATAAATAACCCTTTCTTGTGGCGTCTCCATATGATTGAAAAGTCTTAAGATGGACATTAAACAATATAGTACAACCATCAATCATTTATGAATGTTTCATTTGAAACGCTGAAAAAGGAAACATTGCATATCTAATCCTATCAAAAAATTTTTTGAATTGCTTGGAAATAAAACTCTTAAAAATTAAATTGCAATAAATATACTTAAAGCTCATATTTTTAAATTAAATGTACAAATTTTATCATTTAATTATTTTGACTGCTGATATTTTAGTATTGCCAAGGTTTAATGTGACGTTGGAACTTCCGCCATACGGAGTCAGCAATAGAATTGTTACAAGTATTAAAGTTATTTCCACGTACGTAGGATTATGTCCAAAAATATAATTAAATTTAAGAAAAAAAAATACTATATCGTATTCTAAATAGTCATTCTGGACGATCTTATTTATCAGTAAATTAAGTCCATTAAGAATATTAGTAATATTGACTTTAAATCCAACGCTTTCTTTTTTGGTACATTCATCGTAAATCTGCTTTATTTAAACAATAAGACTAAAATTATATATTAATTTCTACCTGTAGATACACTTTAGGTAAACCTGTAAAAGGAATGGTTGACATTAGAATCCGTTCGAAACAAAACCTATTTTCTTCGGTGCATATGCAGCTCAGACAATGCCAAGGACATATGGTTGAGATTTTTCATCGTGCCCCAGTAAGTTGTTTTATCCATTCTTTGTAGTCATTGTTTAGGCACCGTTAATTAAGGACAGATGATACAAACAAATTTTTTCTTTGAAAAAGATTTAATATCATGTCACAAGTTTAGAAAAGTGGATGGTTCTTAGAACTTTTTCTCAGAAGAACTGGAAAATGATAAAGACTTGGAAAATATTAGTAATATTTCAATAAAAAACAAATATGGACAAATCACATTCAGTAAAGGTTTACAGGTGAAAACAAATTTCAGAATATGTTACCTTGGTGCTAAAAGTGTAATATAAACTTTAGAAAAATATACCAAGCCAGGTAAATTTTAAGAGGAAGATCATAATGACAAAAAAATAGCAATATCACATAGGCTGATTTTTACCATTTAGCTTTTCCTAATTTAATTCACCTGGCTTGGTATATTTTTCTTAAGTTTATATTAGTCTTTTAGCACCATGGTAACATATTCTGAAATTTGTTTTCACCTGTAAACCTTTACTGAATGTGATTTGTCTATATTTGTTTTTTCAATGAAATATTAGTAATATTTTCCAAGATTTTTTCATATTCCAGTTCTTTGGAGAAAAAATTCTAAGAACCATCCACTTTTCTAAACTTGCGACATGATAATAAATCTTTTTCAAAGAAAAAAAAATGTTTGTATTTGTATCACCTGTCCTTAAGTTTTGATTTATGTGATTCCACTCTTGTATGGCTTGAAAAATCTTTCAATGAATATAGTTCTTCAATGAAAGAAGTAAATATATGTAGAAATGAAGTTATATAGTTAGACTATTTAGAAGCTAAGAGACGAAATATCATTGCCAAACCGATTTACGGAAACAACGGCGGCCATTTTGGGAACTAAATTATGGCAAACTACTGTATATCTTATTGCAAATTATTAGAATTATCTCTCGAAAAATGGAGCAACGACCCACTCATTTTGAAAAATAAATTGTCAAAGTATGAGAAAATGATCGTTTTTGTTTTTTTTTAGTGTGTGTGTATGCTTTTTCATTGGTATATAAATTTCAGTCTTTGTGAGATTTTTGTAAATTGTAGAGATTTTACATTAAGTATACCTTAATATTTGATATGAAATATCAAATAAAATGTGGATATAATTGAAATTAAATTTTCAACTTCTTATCTGTCGCATTATAGGCACTTCATCCGCCTTATCCCCCCGCCCATCTTTTTGTTATACATGTGTGCAATAATCCATAATACATAATTTCATATAATCCATCAATATTTTATTAATTACAAAAAAGGTAAATAAATCTAATGTATTTCTTCATTCTCGATAATATCCCTATCAAATATGGTTTCTCAAGTATTAAAAGAACTACTAGTATATCATTATGTAACAGTCTGACTGTATGTGATTCTTTATATATAATGACAATATGCACCTCCTGTTTTATTTTTGATCATACACTTATATCGGGTCAAACAGAGTAAAACATGAACTTTATTATTATATATCGTGATATGGGAGGCGGGGAGGATCATTTAGTGAGCTCAGTGCTTACAATACCTCTAGTTTTATTTTATACTTAATTTGACTTTAACATGCTCTGTCTACCTGATTAAAAATAAGACTCACGGTGGATGTGACCGGTCAACAGGGGAAGCTTATTCCTATTAGGCATCAGGTCCCACCTTCGGAATTTTCGGGTATCCGCCTTAATGCCCTATTTACTTATTTGTATTGTTTGTAGTTTTATGAGATCGATCCTGATTGGGTTTGTTATCTTCATCTTTTCATGTAGTAAATTTCTATTGTCATTTGAATTTTCTGATATTGCCAAAACTACTGTTTATTTCTGTCTTATCTTAAAAATTGTGATGATATTTACATTTTTCGGAATTATGAATTATATCAAACTATGGTAAGTGGGAAATGTTGTTTTTAACGTATTCATTTATGGGATAAAGATAGATTTCCAAATCTATCCAATCCAATTTAAGAAAATTTTGTTTAAAAACATGTAATTCTTTACACAACTATATTTAAACTTTAAATGCATGTTAAAATTTTTATTTTATTTTGAAGATAGATGGTCAGTATAACTTTGATGTTGAAAACACGAAACTTAAGAGCATGGTGGAGAATTCTGGCTTCCAAAGTTTACTTTACGCTAGCCTAGTATTTGAAGTGAATGTAACTGAATCCATAACAGGTTTAAGTCAAAGTGCATCTGGTACTGTCACATTCTATGAAACTGAAAACAAATTACAGTTTCTCGAGTCTCTTCCATCAACATTTAAATCTGGACTTAACTTCACAGTTTTGGTGAGAGACGAGAATGTGTTTAAAGGGCTATTGTAATGTATAAAAAATACCATTAAAAGTAATTTTCCTATTTAAAAAAAACAGATAATTTTTACCTTATTTACTAAATTATTTACAGTAGAATTAGCTCCTCATGTATCTCTTATAAAGTTTTGTATCTAATACAGGGCAAATTGACTCGTCAAGATGAAAAAGCTGTTTCCCTTCCAACTACCTCGAGGGTGAAGTTGACTGTAACCCAAACCATCACCCTCCCCTCCGTCAGGTCGAACTCTACCATGACGTCACAATCAGACCTATCAAGTGTAAATACAACGATAATTAATATGATTTCAGAAGACACAGCAGAACAGCAGGAAATAGAAACTGAATTTGGCATCCTTTTGGAAGACTTGATACAAAATTCTCAAATGAGCAATACTGAAGAAAGAACTATTAAACCAGTCTTTCTTGACATTGATGCCAATGGATTTTTCAAACATGAAATAACAATACCTGAAGGAACTAAATATATTTTTATAAAAGTAAGTCGTCATAGAGACTTCTGCTGTTTTCTTTTTAAGCAAAACTTCCATTTAAATAGCTTAATCCTTGTTATATGTTCTTTTAAAGCTTACTCATTCATTACTCATTTCAGGCTGAGTACAATGGTTTGTCTTCCTTTCTTTACTTACGGCCCAGTAAATCACCCAGCAACTCCTTCATGCAAATCAAACTTCTTCACACAGGCAGGAAACCAAAGGTTTTATTTTTTCTTTTTCTTCATCAATAGAATCAGTCTATGAATTTAAAATTCAATTAAGGTTGAAATACCGTGTATATATAATTTATCAATAAAATATATTTCTTATCATTTTTACAGACGGGAAAACATTTTTCGAGGAACATATACTTAATCATTTTTTTGTTTATGCACAATGTTTCAAGACAAAGATAGATTTTTATAGGTCTCAGTTAATCCAACTAATACCAAAGCTTCCTTTCTAAAGGGGAAAAATCATATGTCATTTGGAACATTTTTAATATTTTAAACAACCATAATAAATTTGAATTACGATATCTATATTGGATTCCAAAGCCTCACAAAAATCACAAAAATACAATCAAATATACAAAGCGGGTTCCAGTAAATGTTCTACCAAGCGGCATTCTTTACTCCTCACTCAAATATTTGAAGTAGTGAAGAAGAAATTGTGCAACAATATATTTATGAAATGGTGTAAACCGGTGTGAATTCTTAAAAATTGAAGGAAAATGTTGGAAATTTGGATTCACGTTCTTCCAAATCGACATTCCAAAACTTCACTAAAATCCATACAAACAAAGATACAAAGCGGGTTCCAGTAAATGTTCAACCTAACTTCTTTCTTTACTCCTAACTTAAACATTTTAAGTTCCGAGGGAGAAACCTCGGGACTATTGTGACAAACAAAACTAGAATATCAGCAGTCTCAGTTAAAGTCATCATTTTGTAAGTTCTATGGTCGATGCAATGGCCATACCAACAAATACAATTATCATTAAGTCAAATGCTGACTGACATATTTCATACTGATTGTTAGGTTATTATTTATACACACTTAATTGTCGACGGATTTTGCTGTTATTTCCCGATAATGACAAAGAGCGCATTTTTGCCGGAGAGAATACATAAAAGAAAATAATACAGGTCTATAACACTTGATGCCTCTCTGAAAAATTGAAATAGCTTGTCATCTGGAATATTTTGTATTGTTTTATTAAATTTTTAGCTTAAATACTATATGTTATCTCAATATATTTCATAATGCAAGATACAATACATACAGTTTCGTATCTCTCTCTCTCTCTCAGTATTGCATCTGTTTATTGCCAGGTAGGATCTATCTCAACATTTGAAATCAGGACCACTGAAAGTACTTCCAAAATATACTACCAAGTAAGAATTTACTTTAATAATTTGTAGTTATATGTATTTTTTGCATTTTACCTATATCAAGATAATTTATTTTTTTTTTATAACAAGTGATTTACTTAATTTAAATTTTATTATTTTGATTTATACAAAAAATTAGTTTGTTATGCGGTAACATCTAGATCTCCTTAAACTTTTTTCTCGGTAATGACACACATGGGTAATCACAGTAAAATAAAAGCAATAATTTTCATATTATACAGATTATTTCAAAAGGCCGGATTGTTGAATCAGGGGACCTTGATATGCAATCTTTAAAAGTGAAGAGATTTAACTTGACGATAATAAAAGAAATGGTACCTAAGGCCCGCCTTATCGGCCATTATGTCAGAAAGGACGGAGAAATTGTAGCAGATACAACTAGCTTTGATATTGACGGAAGCTATGATAACAAAGTCAGTGGACTATCATTCTCATTTTGAAAAAAATTTGCATCAACATTTAATTGTTTGGGTTTTTTGCATCAAAATAATCGGAAATCAAAGTTAATTTTCATTTTCAAACCCAAAATATATCTAACTATATGAAACTCATTTTACAGATAGAAATAGACTTTGACGTACAGGAGACACGCCCAGGAAATGAAGTAGTGGTGTCATTCAAAGCTGATCCGGATTCCACGGTTCATTTGTTGGCGGTAGATAAGAGTGTTTTGATTTTACGTGATGACAACGACGTCAAAGAAAGTATGGTAAACTATTGAGAAAGGTCATTTGAAAATTCATTTTGAAGATAATAAATTTTACTATTTATACAAACTTTCAAGAAAAAAAGGTAACATCGATTTTGATTTCTCGCCCATATCAAAAGATAAAAAAAAAATAATAATAAATATTTCAAATTAAGCATCTTAGTTTAAGAATTAAAGTATGAAATTAAAGTATAAAAAAATGAAAAAAGAGATGCCAATACGAAGGGGTGATCAAAAAGTTCGCAAAATAATCGACTAACTTCTATAAGAGAAAAGATATAGGTTTTCAGTGTTGAAACTTTTTAAAAACAGTCCTCTACCTATGTTTACGTCATTATGTAACGCGGCGCCGCGATGAGAATCAATTAACTAAGCGGTCCAGATCACATGCTCCCGCTCTAAAAAATTCCACTATATCTCTTGCACACAAATTATAAAAAAGGTCTTTGAAAAAAAAAATTACATTGAAAGATAATTAGTTAAACTATATTTATACAAACATTCAGGAAACATCGTAACAACGATTCTGAGTTATCACACATATCCGAAATTGTATATATTTTTATACAAAATAAAAAATGTAATTCATATTTGTATGTAATAATTATACATTTTTTGGACATTTTCAACTATTTTTCATAATTAAGCATCTTAATTTTATAACTTATAGTTAAGTATGAATAAAGAAATATTTATTATAATTCGAGGAGTGATCAAAAAAAAAATCAATCAAATTAATGACTAAATTTTTTGCAAGTCTTTTGTACTAATAAACCAATCACATATTATCAAATGCTACTGCAAAGTAATTTTCAAAATATGCGTTTAACTTTACAGCCGTCCGTTTCTCGACTACGACCAAGTAAACCATTTTGTTCACAAGTGATCGACATTTTGATGTCATTTTCACATTGTTACGTCACATATGCTTTTTATAGAATATACGTAAGACTCTATGCGTATTAATTGTCATTCTGATCTAAATTTTGGTTTTTCAAATATAGAGATGGATCGCGAACTTTTTGATCACCCCTCGTATAAAGAATTGTAATATTTAGATATTTAACGGTATTGTAGGTACTAAAAGAATTGAATAGTTACCAACAAAAACTGCCGATAAAGGGCGTGCTCCCTTTGTTTTTTGAGCGTCATTTATTCAATGTGAATAAAACATTTAATTACATATGCTATTTTCCCATCGCTTAAATTTATTTAAACCTACATGTATGCATTTGTACATCTTTATATTGGTATTTGTTTTTTCCAGATCCGCCCTCATTTCCTAACAATTTTCTTTGTACGTTAGTGCTTTTTCATAATATTGAACTGTCATATCTAGATATTTTAACGGTATTGTAGGTATCAAAAGAATTGAATAGTTTCGAGGTTCTGCCAATTTTGATGAAGGTGATGGTTTGTCATCTCTATTGCCTGGCCCTAGGTTCTGTTAATCTTTTATGTTGTATTGAAGTGGATGTTCGACATCCCTTTTGTCGCTCCTAGGTTGTGACAATCTTAGTATATTGGCGGTTTGTGATATCTTTTGTCGCTCCTAGGTTGTGACAATCTTAGTATATTGGCGGTTTGTGATATCTTTTGTCGTTTCTAGGTTGTGACAGTCTTAGTATATTGGCGGTTTGTGATATCTTTAAACGTTTCTAACAAAAATTGTATATTGGCGGTTTAAAATCTTTTGTATGTTTTGACAATGATGTATATTGTGTTTGTGATATCTCTCTAGGTTGTGAAATATTTTCGGTTTGTGAATCTTTGTCTCCTTGATTATAAAATGAAAATGTGTGTAAAAATTCAAAACAAAATAGTGCCGTATATATTGAAGCTATTTCAATATATATCCAAATTTTAAAAGAACAAAATATTGGCGGTTTGTGATATATTTTGTCGTTTCATTTTAGAAAATTACCAAGTTGGTTTGTGATATCTTTAATTTATTTTCAATTTACAAGTATATTGGCGGTTTGTGATATCTTTTTTATTGGCTTTCACATGTATACAAAGCAAGCTATATATCAGCAAAACATATGAACACATATACATGAGAGATGCATTTCGCTTAAATTTATACAGTTCTTTTACAACAGTAGAAAGTGTGTGATGTTCTTTTTATAAATTTTTAATTTGTCAACCGTGAAAGTTGTTTTATATATTAAACCAGAAGGATGTCAACAGTAGTAGAAAAATTCATTTATAATTTTACAATTAAATAATGTTAGTCCTTAAAATTAAAACATAATTACATTTCATCATAAAAATAGGTAACTTTTTCAATGTACATCATAGATTTTTTGCCAGTGCCTTTCATATTCCATATATCTACAATTTTGTAATAAAAAAATCTTTCCTATAAAATTTCTATCTATAATCCTCTTTATTAGAATATCAATATTTAATTTTGGAACACTTTTTATATTTACTAGCAAAGATAAATTGTTTTAAAATAAGTAATGTCAAGTTTTGTAATTTAAATATATTCCTGTTCTCATATTTACCAAAACAAAAAGTAAAGCTAGTTTGTCAAAACAACAATGAATCTCAAATTGTACCAAAACCCATTCATCACTACCTTTATCTATATCCCCCAGGCCTTGGCAATTTACTGTCAGTATTTTAATGTTATTTTTCTAATGTTCCATAAATATTGAATGTTGATAGGAAAAATGCTGACCCCAGTTGTCAGAAACAAATATATAAAATATATAAAAACAAAGTTGGTAAAAGAGTTTTAACAAACATACAAAAAGTAATGGGACTGTCCGAAAAGACATGCCTCTTGTGGTTGATTACTTTTAGGGAACATTTTGCCAAAAACTCTTTTTAAGTCATGATAATTACTTAGCAGTAAGCCCATTTATAGAAATTAAAGTTGGTTTGACCTCTTTTTTTAAATCGCTAATTCGTCTTTTTTACAGAAAGGGAAGATTGTCAGAACATAGGTTTTGATAAATCTCTATTGTCTTACCCTAGGTTCTGACAATCTTCCATATACTAGTGTGTTGGATCTTCCCTATATAGTGTTTTAATGGTTTGTCATCTTTATTGTCCATTCTAGGTCTAGGCAATCCTCTTCATACAAGTGTTTTGGTGGTTGTTATCTCCATTGTTTGTCCCTATTTCATGACATATTCTCTGCACGAATGCTGTCCCAAAAATCAAACTTTAGAATAATGTATTTCTTCACTAATATGACATACATTATTTAGAATGGAGTGATTCAAAATTATTTTTCAAGCAATTCACAGTGGTTTCAGTAAAATATATCTACATGTATGAAGAACATTTCGAATAACGAATCATTCAAAGTTGCTGCCGGCTCAACTGAAGTTTTTGAATTTGTTCAGGAATCAAATTTTATACTGCCTTTTATTTTATTCTGTTTACCTAGTTATCCATTTACGACACTTAAGATGAAATTAAGATATACAATCTTTTAATAGACAATTTACCTACCTTTGTGAAAATTTCAACTGCTCGAATACTAAAAGGGGGTCTATATTACGTCCAGTTCTAGCCTTTTCAGTTTTTCGTCATTTTTGTTGGTTAACAAAACGCTTCCTCCATCGGTTAACAAGTCTTTAAACCTCTTTTGCTATATATTTGGCTGTGATTGATACATATATGTAAGTAGTGCCCTCGTTTCCAGCTCTTTTCCTCTATGAACAGAAGTCAGAACCAGCTCAACACAACACTGAGTGAATTTGTTGCGCCGTATTATCCCTCGACATCGCCGTTTTTGGTTATATACGAATTGATAGTGTTAGTGCATATATCGTCATTTTTTATTTATTATGTCAGAGCATTGAATATTTACACACGTGTACTCTAGAACTTAAATTTTCTAGGAATATAATTTTTATCACATTATATTTCTATCAAGTCTGATATTAGAAAAAAAACATCGCTGTGAATACAACTTTTGAATTTTAAGAAATTGTCGTGCACTGATCACCGATGTTTATCACCATTTACATAATATTGAAAAATGTAACGTTTTTCTTGGACAACCCTTTTATACTTTATGTTGTCATCTGTCCTTTAGGTTTTATAACCTAAAATACTGTTTGTTAACTCCATGGGCGACTTCGATTCGTACCCGAGTACGTACTCGAGTTACTTGAGTTTCAATCGAACGACAATAGTTACTACTCAAAATACGTCATATGACCTTATGAACTCTACCCAAGCTAACCCAGCCATACAGTTGGATTACTAGAGTTTCGATATGGCGGCGTCGAAAGAAAAAACGTAGGAATTATTTTTTACTAGATATTATATTTAGTATCGCTTATCCTTAAAAGCAAACTTCGAAACGCACTTTCTACATGAACGCTTTATAATTTATATGAATATATGTTTATTTGATTAGATATTTAAGGCTTTCTGTCCGATAACAGCAGAGACATAAATTCAAATTCGAAACCAAAAAAGTTCAGAGCTGAAAAAGAAAATCATTTCAACTGCAGCAAAAGCTATAGAAAGAATTAACTCAACAGATGATGTCAAAATGGACCTATTCGACCGCCTTTTAAAACCCATAGAGGAAATTTATTTTATTTTCGCTACCCTTCAAACTCATATGAGTTCGCTTGAAAACCACATGTTTGTGTAAACATCCGGTCATGTGACGTCAACCAAGAGTTAATACTCGGGTATGAATCGAAGTCGTCCCATATGTTTTATTTGAATAGACTTTTGAGCTTGAATACTGTTCTTTATTTTCATATATTTAATGTACCAGATTTTTTTTAAAAGTCACTCAGTAAACACATATCCATGATACAATGAAGCGCATTGAAGTGGTAAAATTTTCCGTTTTACTGGAACGTTTTGAGCTATCTTTAGAACGATGTTTTTCATTCAATGACACGCCCATTTCTTTAGAAAAAAAAATCGGTCAAATGGTTCATTCGAATACCTGTAGAACCGGTATTCCATAAATATGATAACCAATCAAATTGACAATCTACATAAACACCGATATAGCACGTGTTCGACCGATACAGGCGTGATGGTAACTCCAATAAACACAATAAATTAATAATTTTTGACAAATTCGTTGAAATACGTGTTTTACAGAAGAGTTAACTCTCTAACTCTCTCTCTTATAACTTCAAAAATTTCCATTTTGATGTAACTCGTGTTTCTTGTCCCGAAGAGCGATGTGTCCTTAAACATTTCGACGAATATTTCTTTTTCGTTTCCAAAGAAATGGGCGTGTCATTATCTTATTATTAACGTTCAAAACATGACTCAGAACGTTTCGTTCAAAGGGAAAATTTTACTACTTCAGTGCGCTTCATTGTAAGTTTTACTGATATGTTATAAGTAATTAAGTTATTTAAATCTCGTACAAATCACCAGCAGGTGACTTAAGTGAACGAAGAGGGCCATGGACTTTTGCGGATGGGGGTGTCTCTTCACAAATAAATAATTTTGAGACAGGAAGATATAGTGATTTTTTATCGGTTATATTTGTAGGATAACGGATTAGCTGTTCTTACGGATGCTCTTATTTATAAATACGAACATCCTAGTAAGTAGCACATCACATTTCCGTCATTTTTATGTATAATCTATTTTTGTAATATGTTATTACTGATTATTAGTTTAAGGGATAATTATTTATATTTACAGTAAAGATTATATAAAAACAAATAATAATTTAATTTTAGTTGTAACACGTCATGTGATTGGTTAAACGGTTTTATCCATTTTGTATAACATACCTTGCCTACGTCACAATGAGTTACGTCAAAAACGTATTACTCCGCTTACCGTTAACTTTTAAAATATGCGATATTTGAAGCCTTTTCCGAAAGAAAAAATGGAAAAATTGTCTTATTTTCTATGTTGAAATTAAATTATAAGGAATGCAGGTTATTTCAACTTATGTTATACGATATAACATAACTTGGGACAGTTTACGCTTTTTTATAAACCGCTTCGCGGTTTATAAAACGTAAACTGCCCAAAGTTAAATTATATCGTATAACAAAAGTTGAAATAAGCTTCATTCCTTAATTAAAGAATAATATCAATATGATTAATATTATAATAATGTGGAATAATATTCCATTTCATAAATATTAATAATATTAATATTTATATACGACTTTGTTTATGTTATATATAATTCTGTATAATTCAGTTTTTTAATATAATGTGATTTTGTAAGTAGATGTATGAAGAAATCTTATAAAATAAGCTTACAAAAATATAAATAGTATAACTTTTATTCTGTGCATCTGAAACAATGAAAAAGTGATTTTTACAGGCAAACAATCTTTAGAAATACGTTAACTTCTTGTATCTGCTTATTAAAGATTAAGAATATTGACATTTTTTACTGTTAGCGGTTTCACACCAGGGATCGAAAAAGTATCATCGGTATTTTTCATCTCTTGATTCTAAAAACATTCCATTGTTTCGTAACTTGTGGCAATTTTTTTCACACTTGATTTTTTTCAAGGGTTAAAAAACATTCTTTTATCACGATTAGAATGGTCTATGAATAATATTTGATCAAATTTAATTTATCTTTAACTTAATTCTTCGAAATTACATCTTTTAAGTACATATTTGACCCTTCGACTGAGTTTTCGAACATGCCATCTTCAATAAGTTTAAAGCTTCAAGATTAATTATTCTTATTTATAACATATGTCATCCCGAAAGACTGGTAATTTAATTTAAACTTTTAATAATTGCTGATAAAATTAATAACTATCCTCCATTTATAAAGTTTTACTTACTTTTAAAAACCTTATACCATGGCAAGAACTCTTCACACGTGGTACTAAGGCTTTCATTTTTTACTCGTATATTTCTTTTAGGATGGCCTTCCTTGGGATACCTACAATTCTAATTTTTTTACTTTCACCTTAAAATGGATCTATATTGAAAATTTTTAAGCTTGGTCTTTATATTTGAAGACTTGAGCTCATTTTCATATTTCATATCTGTATTTCTTGTGACAAGACTTTCACTTGGTTATTATTTTTTTGCCTATTTCTTCTTAACCTAGACGTAGTTTAACTCACTTTCGAAAAACTTTAACCTTTGCTTTTACTTTCCAACGGTTGGTCATATACCTTTCATATATGTATACGTAACTTTTTTCGAAACAAATTCTTTCATTGGTTACCAACAATTTTTACTCTTTTGAACTCGAACTTGGAGTGTTTGACTTGCATTTGAAAAAACTTGAACCTTCGCCATAAACAGCTACATCATTGTTTTACAAACACATCTTGTTAAAAAGGAAGTTGCATTACTATTCTGTGGCGTTATATCGGTAATTTGCCTAAATTGTATATCTTTTACATATATATTTTACTTGTCGATGTTGAAATAAAGCGGGAATACTAGTACTTTAAAGTCAAGTTGTGTAATCTGTTAATGAACGTCATATTAGAGTTTGGAGATATGTCGGGAGACAGATCCACAGTCCCTGATGATTTTATACCAGTAGCTTTAGAACCAGAAAAGCGTGTTCGAACGTTGTTTCCAGAAACCTGGTTTTGGTTGAATAAAACAGTAGGGTATGTATTAAATATAATGTGTAACTGTGATGTTAAATTGAAATGTAAAGAAAACAAACAGTGATCATTTGATTATGAGCAGTACTAACACGAAGCTTCTGAAAACAGAGGGGGATCAGGTGCCATGAAGGATTAACCTTCCCTTGTCGACTGGTTACAAATGTTATGATTGACTAAACGGGGTAAATTTATAGAAAGTGAAGGAAATGATCTAAAAATTTATATGAAAGGCGTCAGTCTAGTCAAGATCCATCAAACGACATATCCATGACAAGGTAATTATATCAAACACAAAATTTCCAAAATGTTGACTTTAAACTAGATTGTTCGTATCATAAACTTATTCCTCACACACCCGTCTTAATTTAGACAAATGATTTGCTCTTGCGTATTAAATCAACTGGGAAGCAAATACTTCATTTGCAGAGGGAAATAGTACATAGCAACATGAAGGAAAGTGACGGTAGAAAAGTCAAAGTCATCAAGTATATATCATAAGCATTAGTTGTTAGTTTGTTTTCAATATCCATTTCTAGTAAAAAAAAAATATAAATAGATAAAAACTTACATATACATGTATGCTCGTTCTTCCGTCGCACCTGATCCCACCTCTGATGATTTAAGGATCCGTGTTTGTTCTGCTCCTGATTTGTATTGTTTAAAGTAGAATCTTTTCTTTATCTCCATATATTTCACTAAGTAAATAAAAACAATTTCAGCTAAAAGCGATAGCGCTTTTACCTTCAGACGTTTCACAAGTACATAATTCCGGATTTTTTTACCGTTATGTCCAAAAAATATTCTAGAAATCATTATCTTAAATTGAAATTGAGTCTTTTCTTTTATATGTGCATTATTTCTTGAGCATTTAAAAAAATACAACCTTTACAGAGCGGACGGTATGACGTCATTTAGTGTTCCTGTACCTGATACTATCACAACCTGGGTCGCTACAGCTTTTGCTGTCAACCCTAACTCTGGGCTGGGACTGGACCCGTCCCCCGCTTACGTGAGAAATATTTGTGGTATCTCTAGCCTGTAAACAGTTTATAATAATCATGTTCTTGAAATCAACTATTTCTGCCATTATTTTAAAACCCCATTGCAAATTTATTTAACGTTGAATGCATAAAAACAATTGCACGATAATTGATAATTGATCAATTTGAAACGATAACCATGTAAAGTGGATCAAACCAAACCTTGAAATATATAGGTTTTGTTTTCTTTTTCTGTTCATTCAAGTTTTATTTGTCAGATGACAACCCTGTATTTTTAGCTTTTCTGATCACATTTTGTCCGGCGTCCGTCTGTCTGTCTGTAAACTTTTCACATTTTCGACTTCTTCTCAAGAACCGCTGGGCAAATTGCAACCAAACTTGCCACAAACTATTCTTGGGTAAAGGGGATTCAAGTTTGTTCAAATGAAGGGCCAGGTCCTCATTCAAGGGGAGATAATTGGGAATTAATGAAAATTTGGTGGTATGTTTTAAAAATCTTCTTCTCAAGAACCATTTTGCCAGGAAAGATAAAACTTATGGGGAAACATCCTCAGGTAGTGTAGATTGAAGTTTCTTCAAATCATGACCCCCGGGGGTAGGGCGGGGCCACAGTGGCCGACCAAAGTTTTACATAGAAATATATAGGAAAATTCTTTAAAAATCTTCTTCTCAAGAATAACAAAGCCATAATTGATCATATTTATATGGAAGCATCCTCAGGTAGTGTAGATTCAAGTTTGTTCAAATCATGACCCCCGGGGGTAGGGTGGGGCAACAATGGCCGACCAAAGTTTTACATAGAAATATATAGGAAAATTCTTAAAAGATCTTCTTCTCAAGAATAGCAAAGCCATAATTGATCATATTTATATGGAAGCATCCTCAGGTAGTGTAGATTCAAGTTTCTTTAAATAATGACCCCCGCGGGTAGGGCGGGCCAGAATGGCCGACCAAAGTTTTACAAAGAAATATATAGGAAAATTCTTAAAAGATCTCCTCAAGAAAAACAAAGCTATAATTGATCATATTTATATGGAAGCATCCTCAGGTAATGTAGATTCAATTTTATTCAAATCATGACCCCTGGGGGTAGGGCGGGGCCACAATGGCCAATCAAAGTTTTACATAGACATATATAGGAAAAATCTTTAGAAATCTTCTTAAGAATAGCAAAGCCATTGCTCATGGGACTACTTTTAGATTTAAACTTTTCAATAATAAACCAATTTCTATTTTTTCCCAGCCACAGTGCTCAGGTGAGCGATGTGGCCTATGGGCCTCCTGTTTTATGTTTTAGTATCAATTCGATTACAGCTCAGAGTGTTTCAGCCATTCTTTGTGAGTCTGACTTTGCCTTACTCCGTCATACGAGGGGAACTAGTGGTTCTCCAAGCTAACGTGTTTAACTACCTGAAGAAAGATATCAAGGTATGAAAAATAATTATGTTAACATTTTTAATGGTGTTCAATGGGCCTTTGCCAATTATGTTAGTGAGTTTTTGACAATGAATATTTGTATTTGTGAAAAGAAAATTTTCGGAATTTTTTTCTCAGAAATGGGAGTAGTGCACGTAATTCGTGCGATTTTTAAATGTATTATTTCATATTTCTTTTTTCAGGTTCTCATTATTATTGATAAAAACAAGGCCTTCAAAAATGTCGTTACTTACTTAAAAGACAACCAAGTAAAAACTGGGAGATTTTCATTCAGAATAGGACGAACATTCAATGTATGAACATTGTATTTTCAATTAATATATCTATAAAATACTTTTGTTTTTACTTACATATCTCTTTAAATTAGTTATAACAAGTATAATAGCTTTATATATAACACAACCACTTACAATTGTCTACAAAAGCCTAGGACACAAATTACATTTCTTCATTGCTTAAGCGTGTTCTTTTAGTTTCTTTAAGTTTAAGTACTCGCTTTGAAACCTTTTGCATTACTCAAAAACTGCTGTAGTATGGCCATTCGTTCATTCATGTTTTTTGGCAAGTGCTTGATTGTTTTGCAGTATTGGTTTTATTATAGATAGCACCTGGGGAGATCTATCCTGTCTATTTTCCTATTGTTCCTTCTGAGATTGGTGATATTAAGATAAATATCACCGCCACGTCAACTGACGCTAGTGATTCCATCATCCGGACACTCAAAGTGGAGGTCAGCGATATCGAGAATAAATGTTTTGAGATTTATCAAATATCTTCAGCTGAATATATCTTCTACAGAAAAATTCCAATAGATATCCTTATCCTACGAGGGATGTTCGAAAATTATTGAGACATGGTGTACATTTTGCTTTTTAATGAACATCTTTCAGTGAAAATTGACATGTACGTTTGACATACACTAAAATTAATAAGAGCAAGAAATATTTTACAAATATTAAATATTTTCTCTACAATGGTAATAAATGTGTCAATAGTAGGGGTACCCGGAGCAGTCGCGGAATCAGACATTGAAAATATGTAACCCCAAAATTCTAACTCTTGATGGATCAATAATGAGAGCGAAAATAATTCAGTTTAAGTGTATAATTGTTCAGCTTTGGTTCAAATTCATGTTGTGTAACTTTGATAGAATTTTGATCAGAGATACGGAGATCATAAAAAAATTAAGCGCGGTAGAGAAATCTGCTAACAACAAAAAAATGGATTTTGACGTCAAGGGCGGAGCAGCCAGCATACCTAAAATTTTGTGTAGCGCAATGCAGAACTCTTTTCAAGACTGAACGACCTGCTAAAACAATAACAACGAGGGAAAAAATGATGTGTTAGGGATTGTTATTTCCTTGGTATACATTTTTTTAGCAATTAATTAAACAAGATTAAAATCAAAAGATCTGGACGACCACGTGTTATTATTTAGTATTTACAGTATTAATATCGTTACGGTATTTAACCCGCGTTGCATAAATTGGCACCGCATGATTCTAAGCCGTCCTTTCCCATAAATGAACATTTTTGACTGGGGTAGCAACAGCATATATTTTTAAAGAATAGTTTAAGAAAAGAGACTTTGATTTTTGTTATGTTATATGTAATAAAAAAAAGAAAAAGTATTAAACACTTCCCGATCGTTTTACTTGCTGAAGAATCTACGGCTAACGTAACGTTAAATGACGTAGCGAGGCTGCTTCGGGTCGATAGACATATGCATATTTATTACTTCACAGAAACTTATATAATTATCGTAGGAATTAGAAAATTTGCTTAAGTGTTTTTGATGTTCTTTATAAGTTGTTGATGAATTTTCATGAAATTATCTCCGTCCTTTATGGAGTAAATGTAATTATCTCAATAATTTCCGAACAGTCCTCGTATAATAGAAAAGAAAAGGATATTTTCTGATTCAGTTAAAAACAATTACGAAAACAATATATGCACACACTGCATAAAAACATTATTTATTTCATTAACTAATCATTTATTAAATGCTTCAGCCCGAGGGAGTTGAGAAGGAATTTAACAACCCTGTGCTGATAAATAATGGTGATGCTGACACATTTTCCAAAGATGTAGGAATATCATTTCCACCAAATACTGTGGCCGGATCAAGGCGTATCAGAGCATCAGTTATTGGTTCGTTTGTTTTTAGGTCACCTGAGTCACTCAGGTTACCTATTGCTATTTGTTTCGTCTATCGTCGTACTCGTGTATTTGAACATTTTCAGCCTCTTCTCAGCAACCACTGAACAAGTTTCAACCAACTTTGGCATAGAGCCTCTATACGAAAAGGAGAACAAAATAATGAATTTCACGGCCTTTACCTCCCTGGAATGGAGCCAAAAACCACTAAAATAAGTGCAATCTTTCAAAAATATTTTCCCGTCCTCGTTTACTATGTTCTCGATTTGTATTATTTCAGTGGATTTTTTCATCACTGTTCCTTATTTTCACATACTGAAAGGAAAAACAAACACAGGGAAGCAAAATATTCGAATTTTTTTTTGACCGCATGACCGAAAATTGGAAATTGGTCAGATGAAAAGGTGGAAAATAAACTCCATAGTTCGGTAATATGCATCAAAATCAGTGTGATCAGAATTACTCAAGCGTAAAACGCTAAAAAGGCCATAACACGTGCAAATTCATGATGAGTTTGTCAATAAATCTTGTTGTTTAATTTGATTCACCTTAGGTATGCACATTTTTTTTTAATATTTACAGAACGATAAGAATTTCCTGCAATGTTGATGCAGTTTACTGAAGTTCCATGGGGTCTGATTTTCGAATTGCCAAAGTAAGGACAAAGGCAACAGCGGGCTACTGAGCAGATTCTAAATTTTCCCCCATAAAACGTGTTTTCCGTTGAAACCTGTTTGATCGCCACCTTACTACAACAGAAATCGCTGTTAATACAGTAGACTATCAAAATCATTATATGCACCCCAAATTTGAAAGAAATCAATTGCGCAATTTGGGTTTTTGACCCAGTCAACTTTACCTTTGTGTTCCTCTCACTGGCACATGCACGCGTCGTTTGATCGGCGTGGTTGCCCATGCCCAATATAGCCAGGGTTTGAAAGATAAACATTCTGATGAATTCTGATGCAAAAGAGAATCTAGACTGTGATAGGTGCGCGGGAGAGACATTGATTGATTGTACATTGTTTAACGTCCCTCTCGAGAATTTTTCACTCATATGGAGACGTCACCGTATGCCGGTGAAGGGCTTCAAATTTTGACCTTTACTCGGCACTCGGGGCCATTGAGCAGTGAGGGGTCTTTATCGTGCCAACGCCTGCCGCTGACACGAGGCCTCGCTTTTAAGGTCTTATTCGAAGGACCCACAACTTTCACTTCAAAGTGCCGAGCGCATGGCGAAGGAACAGTTGCTACCCATTTTAACGACTAGGTCAGTCGCGGCCGAGATACGAACTCACGACCTCCCGATCACGGAGGGAGAGACATTGAAGATGAGAGTTTTCGATTTTCACTTTTTGGAGGGTATCGTCATATGAGTTTCAATAACTATATCTTCTTTAAAGATGATTTTCAAAGGAAGATAGGAATACTGAAAATAATGATGAGATAATAGATTTAATTTGCCTCCAATATGTTTATCCTGTGTGTATTTCTTTTTCCTTTCAGTATATTTCATAGTAATATAAGTTACTTGACTGTTCACTGATAGAAATACCTAGTTGATTTAACTAGTGTACCTAGTAAAGCGTTCTTCGTGATTAGTAATAACTCTGTTTACTAGCTGAAATAGTGAAAAGTGGAGTAGTGGTCGTAAAGATACTTAGCTACCTAGTGAAAGTTACTTATAAACTATAGATTTACTAGTGTTCTCTGGTAAATTTTACCCAATACCTAGTAAGACTACTTTTGAGGTAGTGTTTGTATGGACAGTAAATTTACTAGTCTTCTTAGTGACTTTCACTTGTTTTTTTTTCAGTGTTCGTTGCCATTCGTTCAAACTAATAGGGAATTTATTTTTTACCTTTGAGAAGTACGCAAAAAATTGAATGAAACTGTTACTTCTTAGGGAGATTGCTAAAGGAAATTTGTACTAATATATGTCTCATATTATCTTTTTTTATCTTGCAGGTGATGTAATGGGTCCATCAATCAGTGGACTTGCATCATTGTTAAAGATGCCATATGGATGTGGTGAACAGAACATATTGAATTTTGCACCTAATATTTTTGTATGGAAATACCTCACAATAACAAATAATCTCACGCCAGATCTAGAGAGGAAAGCTAAAGAATATATGATCAAAGGTTTATTTGTTTACTTTTTCTTACTATTCTCTAATAGTATTATAAAATAGTATCTGTCTTCCATTCTTACTGACCGTGTAGTGCGAGGCGGTGCCGCGAGAATTCCATCGGCATTGAAAGCAAATTTGTTTTTTGACTTGCTAGATAGCCTAGCGCCTAACGGTCTAGCGCGTTGTTCCTGTACTCTAGGAGAAAGATGCCGAAGGTTAAGAATTCAACCCCGGGATGGGGCGGAAGTGGGTATCCTTACAAAAGTTGATTTCTTTGTGCTTTCTATATGTTCAAAATTAAACTTTTGGCATATTTATAAGCTATTTGTTTTGTAACTTTCAGGTTACCAGCGGCAATTGACATATGTCCATCAAGACGGATCATACAGCGCTTTTGGCAAGAGTGACGCTTCAGGCAGTACTTGGTAAGAAACAGATTTGTTTAACTTTCTTAAAGTTTGGTTAAGTCTTATATGCAAACAAATATTTTAAGAATGACCTTTCAGAAAGTAAAAACCCTAACCCTAACCAAAACTTTTTACGGTAATCAATAATAACTAAATTTGTTGGATATGAGAAAAATTATCTTTTTCATTTTGATATAGATCTTAGAGATATATTTATTTCTTTTACTTCAATTATTAACCAAATTTTGACGAGTAAACCAAATTACAGGTTGACTGCTTTTGTTGTGAAGTCGTTCTCTCAGGCCTCTGATTTGATCACCATTGACAAGACTGTCGTAATGGATGCCATGCAATGGCTTACTTCTCAACAAAACGAAAATGGGACATTCAGAGAACCAGGCAGAGTCATAAACAATATAATACAGGTAGTACTACCATTACTGATTGTATCATACATTGTATGTAAGAATATCAGGGGCAACGTCTTGATTGTTTTATAAAAACATAAAAGGTAAAGATAATAAACAGTGATCGATAAAAACAAGTCTAATAAACGAAATAACATATATGAAGAGGAGGGCTTATGTGCCTAGGAGGAGTAAGCATCCTCCGCTGGCCGGTCACGCCCACCGTGAGCCCTGTGTATTGATCAAGTAGGCCGAACATTCTCAAGTTCAATTCAGGTTTAAAAAAAAGGTCGACAAAGATGAATTGATACTATGTACATGCACTGTATTTATATGAACTTAACTTTCCAAAGATTTGTAGAACGTCACGGAGCAACAGTTTACGATACAGTTTTCTGGCGTATTCTGAAAACCCCTAGAATAAAATCAAAAAATGTTGCCAGAAGCATGAAATGTCTCAAAAACGAGTCATGCATGTGTGTGTAAATGGCCCAGGCGGTATTTGAATAGTATAAATTCTGTATCAGACATGGACGATCTCTGTTAAAACGAATTATCTGTAAAAGTCTAACCAAAACGGTCTGTTAGTACGTTCTTGGAAAGGGAAGGCGCTTCATGGTTGCTGATCTTCTGAAAGCAAACTTAAGAAGTAAAATAGGATAACACTAACAAATACAAATATACTACTAAAACAATTTTTAGTAAAACAAATTAATAAGCAAGTCTTTAGACCATCAACAGACTCAAGTCAAAATTTTGATTTTAAATATCTGAAGTTTTATTTAAAATACTATTATGCCATTTAAAATTTTGCAGACTTGAATGATATTCTAATTTAAGCATCTAATAGCAATTTTGTTCCATTACGACAATATTGCAGAAATTGTGTTGATTTGAAATTCTGACTCAAGTCTGTTCTTAATTTATGGTCGTAGGGCCAGATATTGGACCAAGCTATTTGAAATGTATAGGGGGACTATCTTAAAAACCTCATAACGCTATATTTGAGTTCAACTGAGCTGAAAGCTAAACTGAGCTTTTCTGATCACCCGTTGTCCGTCAGTCTGTCCGTCTGTAAACTTTTCATATTTTAACTTCTTCTCAAGAACCACTAAACTAATACAAAGCATCCTTGGCTGAAGGGGAATTGAAATTGTTAGAAGAAAGGGCCAAATCCCTTCCAAAGGGAGATAATCAAGAAAATACAAAAATATTGTTAAGTCATTAAAAATATTCTTCTCAAGAACCTCTGTAGGGAATCCAAGTTTTACATAGAAATATATAGGGAACAACCATTAATCGTAAACTTTCAATCTTTTTCTTAAGGACCACTGGGTCAGAAAAGTTGAAAATTATGTGAAAGCATCTTTGGTAGTGTAGATTATAAATTGTTTTGATGGGGCCACAATAGGGAATCCAAGTTTCACATAGATATATATTCGGGAAACTTTAAAAAATTCTTCTCAAGAACCACTGAACCAGAAAAGCTGAAACTTATGTGGAAACATTTTGGCGTAGTTTGGATTCTAAATTATTTAAATCATGATCCCCGAGGGTAGGACAGGGCCACAATAGAAAATCCAAGTTTTACATTGAAGTATTTAGGAAAATAAAATCTTGTTCGAACCATGACCATTTTGGATTTGGCAAGGTCAAGATAGGTATTACAAAGGGGGAAATAACAGAATGGCCAAAGTTACTTAGGTGAGCGATGTGGTCTATGGACCTCCTGATTACATTACTATAATGTTGTTAAGTGTGATCCGGGGTTATCAAATATGTTAATTTTAAAATTGAAGTATTTCTATTAAATCGACTGGAATGAAACTTCAAACATTAGCAAAATAAATATTTTTACACATATTAATGTTCTTATTTGAATTTTCTTGAAAGTAGTATAACGAACGAAGATTGGCATCGTCTAAAAATTAACTTCAGCTGTCTATGGAAGTTGAAAAATCATTTAATCTGTTGTCTACGTTTCTTTACAAAAAAAACTATATACCTCACAGACGCATATTTATTTTAAGGGTGGATCAGCAGCAGGCGAGAGGACTCTCACGGCGTTTTCTCTAATCGCTCTCAAAGAAGCTGAGGTCATGCAGGTATGTCTTTTTTAAATGATTATTTTGACATTGAAAGAAAGGTTAGTTATATAAAAATAAATGTTTTAAATGATTTAGCTGTTGAAATGATCCACTCTTATAAACAGTCATTAAAGTTATTGACATCATCTTTGAGAATACTGACTTGGTTTATTAATGAGTCTGTTAAATTCATATTTGACTAAAATTTTTTTTTTTTTTGAATAGAGCAAAGAGCAAGAAACGATACTATTACAGGAAAGAATAATACGAATATTTTATTTTGAAGAACAGGTCCAGTAGAATGTGAAATTCCTAATTTTTGATTCTATGCATGCTTTTAATTGATTTTGACAGAGATATTTTTACGAGATACAAGTATAATTTTATAAAATATTCGCAGACAAATTATGTTATCCAGTAGATAAGACTTATTCAATTTGTAAATTAAAAGGAGTGGTATCGGGCAAGAAGAGCAATAAAAAGAGCTAGGACTTACCTGGAAGGTGAAATAGATCTACTGGAAGATGTGTACGAATTAGCTCTCGTTGGATACGCTTTAATTAAAAGTAACAGCTCAAGGGTCAACGAAGTGATTAACAAACTCAATGAGAAAGCGAATGTGAAAGGTATAAAATTGTGACCTCTTATGCTGCGAAGAATGCAGTTTTATCCTTTCTTCTGACAAGCTTTACACAAGATTTTTAAATGACTTTTTATAAATCCAGATGGACTTAAATATTGGTCCAAACCACAGACAGGTATTCAATGGAAGGGATGGGCTCCTCCTAAAGACCAGGCTAAGGCTGTGGACATAGAAACTACAGCATATGCTCTTCTGAGTCTAGCTATCAATAAAGACTTAGAGGGAGGATTACCTGTTCTAAAGTGGATCACCTCCCAGCGTAACCCTGAAGGAGGTTTTGAATCAACACAGGTAATGTTTAAGATTTCGATGTATATATCGTTCACAATTATCAAACAGGATTTAGCATAAAAAGTTGCTATTTTGTATCTAGTTTGTTTTTCTTTTATAAGACCAACAAATAGTCTTGTTTCCTGTTACCCAAACTATTTCTTTGCACCCTACCCTAAAGGTTTTTTTTTTATATAATTTTCGGGAAAGAAAATGGGGAATTTTCGGAATTTCGTTTTCCAAAACTCAAAAATATGTATATTCAAGTGATATTTCATGAAATTCTGTTTTAATTATGAACTTTCATAGAATACCTCCTGAGCTGTGCGTCAAAAGACATGAAATTTAATTTCAAAAGGCAATATTGACTATGACATGTTGAATTATACCCCCCGCTTGAAAAGTGGGAGGGTATACTGTAATCGGTATGTTCGTCCGTCCGTCTGTTACGCTTTGAGGTACCCATCTCTTATCCGCAACTCCTCTTATACCACTGAGTGAACTTTAATGAAACTTTCACAGAATTTTTATTACATATTGTCATTGTGTACCTCCTATTTTAAATTTTGATCCTACGCATATTTTAGGTTTCCCGGTCACAGCAAAACATGTCATTATAACCATATGGGAGGCGGGGGGGTATCATTTAGTGAGCTCATTGCTCACAGCACCTCTGGTTTTATCTTGTTATTTTATATCCAAAAAATAAAGATTAAAATTAAAATATTTCCCTACCTACCTATCCATTTTTTTTCAGGCTGAAAGCAGGAAACAAGATTTTTTTGGCCCAAAACACTGAATTATTGTACTTTTTGCATATGCTAATTATTTTGTTTATAGGACACTATTGTAGCCCTCCAAGCCATGGCAGAATTCGCCTCAATGGTTTACAGTCCAAACTTAAACATGCGTGTAAGACTTGTCAGCAAAACATCAGGGGCACCATTCCAGCACGAATTTAAAGTTACGCGGGAAAACGCACTCATTCTTCAGACCACAGATGTGCGTATAGCTATCATAGGATATTATATTTGAAAAGTATATGCCTTTTTATGTTCCAGTAAACGAAGTTTGGGAGATATTTAGTTTTTGTTGTGCCTGTCCTTTTGTCTTTTGTCTCTCTGTCTGTCTGTCCAGCTGTTAGTCCACCGAAACTTAAACCTTGCCTATAACTTTTGATTTAGAGAAGGTATGACTTTCATATTTCATATATATGTGTGTATTCCTTGTGACAAGACCTTTATTTGGGTACCACCAAATTGGACCTTTTGACCCTGACCTTGGAGTTTTACCCACATTGGATACCAATAACTTTGATCTTGACCTTAGAGGTTTCCATACTTATTAAAAAACCTTAACCTTGGCCATATCGTTTGAACGATAAGGGCTAGTACATTCATACTTCACTTGTGTAATCCTTGTAAGAATACCATTCATTAGATACCAAGAAATTTGACCTTTTGACATTGACCTTGACGTACTTTTAAAAAACAATCCTTGACCATCACATTTTAAGGGTTAGGGCTAGTGCTTTCATACTTTCATATTTAATCGTTGTGACAAGACCTTTCATTTGATTTCAAGAATTTTGCCCCTTTGACCTTGGAGTTTGATCTACTTTTTAAAATTTTTAAACTTGGTTATTAGGGTTAGAGCTAAAGCTTCCCTACTTCACTTATTTGTTCTTTGTGGCAAGACCTTTCATTGGATACCAATTACCTTAACCTTTGACCTTGGAGATTTCCGTGCTTTTGAAAAAAAATTACCATGGACTTCTTCCATATTTCACAATTATATTTCCAGTGAAAATACCGTAATTTGGGTATCAATATATTGAATTTGCATTTAAGAAAAGTTTAATCTTCGCTATGTTGCCACACGGGGTCATCAGTGTTTCACAAACACATCTTGTTCCATTTATATCTGAGCATAATATATGTATTTAACGTTTGAATAGATTCCCCAGGAAGTGAAAAGCATTGGTGTCATGGCCGAAGGATCAGGCATTGCAATAGCTGAGGTACAAAAATATTTTTACTGGTAATACGGTATTCATATTTCTTCCTATACATCCATTTTGATTGATTGATTGTCTGCTGTTTAACGTCCCTCTCCAGAATATTTCACTGATATGGAGACGTCACATTGCCGGTGAAGGGCTGCAAATTTAGGCCTATGCTCGGCACGTACGGCCTTTGAGCAGGGAGGGATCTTAATCATGCCACACCTGCTGTGACACGGGGCCTCGGTTTATACCCGGTCTCATCCGAAGGACCGCCCCATTTAGTCGCCTTTTAGGACAAGCAAGGGGGTACTGAGGACCTATTCTAACCCGGATCCCCACGGGGCCATCCATTTTGATGATTTTTTTTTTATAAAATACAATTCTTTGCTTTTCTGGCAGATCTCAACTTACTTCCACGTAAATGAGGACATTGAAGTATCCTCTTTTGACGTAAATGTAACGCTGATAGATGAAACAACAAAAGGATTCACAGTGAAAATATGTGGAAGGTAATTAAAAATATAATGATCATTACAATAATGATTTCAATTTAATTTTCAATATCAATTTTTTCTTTAAGATGGCTCAAAGAAGGCAATTCTGGGATGGCTATGATGGATATCGGAATACCCTCGGGTATGACCCCTGATTTGGATACACTCGATACATCTAAAGCTCCCATGTATAAACGTAATGAGATGGGATATAGAAAGTTATCTTTGTATTTTGATGAGGTATTTGTTTTGTATACTCTCAATTCTAATTTTACAGTGTATTGAAATTTTGTTCTTTTTCAAAGATTAAATGAACAAAATTAATTTAATAGCAGCCCGTTTTCATGTCTTTAGTTTGACAAACAAGCCCAGTGTGCCTCTGTATACATGGCCAACACAGATAAAGTAGCAGAGAAGCAGCCCTCTGTTATTAGACTCTATGATTATTACGAACCCAGTAAGTACTGATGAATAAAACCCTGGTATTTTAGTTTGAATGGAATATTATATATCTTACTAATTTACTGAAGTTAATCCGTTTTTCTATCAGAAAATCAAGCAACTATATTTTATACGTCAAGTGTTTTGGCGGACTCGGGAGTTTGTGATGTTTGTGGTAGAGAGTGCTTCTGCGCAGACTCGGTAAATAGAAATAAATTACTCCGCCAAACAGCCTCAAGTGAAAGTAACAGGAACACGCTCTATTTTAGTCAAAAGTTTTAATAATTTGAAACATATTTTGAATTCAAACGTAGATGTATTTCTATTAATTTTACTTTGTATTAATTGTTTTCTTTCTCTTTTCAGTCTTAACTATACTGGCAGATGAGACCTTGATTTAATCATTGTTATCTACCGTAAAAGTGTTATGTTTAAAAATATAAATCTGTTCTACTATGCTAAAGCAAATGCGTGTAAGGTTACCAATATATTTACGTTTTATGTAAATTTGATGCCCACTAAAGTATGATTGTTTTTATTTAAATAAATGATACTTTACATACTAATTTCAGTTTATTTTTCTCTTTTTATAAAAGGCATTATCTAGCTTCATGTTAAATTGACCTTTCTTCAATTACAAGATTTTCAAAATTACACATATACTTTTGTTAACATAAGATTATGTTAAACAATAGGTTTTGTATGTATAGTCTTCAGATTCCCAGGTCTGGTATAAAACCAATACCGTGTAGTTGGTTATTTTAGCGGGGTGGTAATTTTGGCGTTTTGATGGTACCCCGCTAAAATTTTAATCATCAGTACTCTTTTTATTGTTCATCTGCAAAGAGCTGAATTAATGAGTCCGCTAAAATGAATGACGCCAAAATTATTGGCATACCTTTGAGCAATCAAAACGCCACATTTTACACCCTTCAAGAAAACCCGCTATACGATACATCATACAAAAAAATAAAAGAATGTAAGGTTTCTATTACAGATATATTTGATAATTTCAATTCCGATCCCATGTCTTCTATTTCAAAATGTTCTGTGGAAAAAATATAAAACCTGTGACATTTTGATAACTAACACTTCTTTCACCAGTAACTTTACTGAAAAGAGCTTCTATATCAAAAGTTTGGAAAATCTGAACTACAAATCTTTTAATGTTCTCAATGGAATAGAATGTAATCTGTTTTGACTTGTTTATGCTGGTGAAACCAAGGGATCACTTAGTAAAAGAATACCAGGTCATCGATTTCAAATAAATCATGGGGGGGGGGCACCAGCTTTTATACAAACATTTTAATTTACCTGATCATTGTGTTTTGTCGATGAAAGTTAGAATTCTCGAAAAGATTTATCACCACGCAAATAGTCCGTCACTGAGTACACCTTTCAGAAAACATCGACAAGAATTTTTGGAATAGAAAACTAGGGATAGCCTTTCTTTATGGATGTAATGACAATGTAGATGGTGTTTTTAAACTTTTCCAGTCCACAATGTAACATTGTTAGTGTGATGGGACTTTTTAACCATACACAGAGACGTTAGCGTAGTCATGGGCATCGGTCTTACAATAAACCTATAATACACGATGTCTCTTTTGATTCATTACTACCTTATGTAAATCAACAGTTCCATCATATTTGCACCAAACTTTACTCTATCCCTTTGAATCTTTTAAAAAGTCTTCTTGTACAGGCCAAGGAACGTCCAAGTTTTGATTCCTTGACACCAGAATATAGGCTCGGATCTGTTAAAATGGATATTGCAAATTATAGGCTTTAAACCTGCACTTTTACTTAAGAGAATACCGCTAAGACAATCTGTCTTATGATTATTATTGAGGACCCTAGATCACTAATTTTAAAAGGTTCTAAATATAGGGAACCCTGATCCTTCAACTGGCGTCGAAATTTCATAAATATTATGGATTCTGTTGAAGATTACGCCAGACGATTTCAGATATGAAAAAAGACGTTGAAACTTTGTCAGAATGGATTAATTGTATCAGATCCATGTTAAAATTGCGTATTAAAAGAACAATATGAAAACCATCTATCCTTCTGTATTCGGTAATCCAGAAGTGAAAAAAGAATTAGATAGATTACATGATCGGTACGGTCTGGTCCCTGCCAACAAAGCAGGTAACATCATTGTCTTCGTTTGTGAGGCTCATTATATAAATTGTAATTTAGAAGAACTTGGATTTAATTTTACAAGTTGAAATCTAGTGGAACTCATAGTTCCCTTTCTAATTAATCAGATTTCAGGTTTGAATATCTTTAATATCCCGAAGAACTAAAATGAATTTGAAGTATCATATATATGTATAGATACTCAAAATTTCCAAAGAACATTTGGACAATTTGAAATCACAAGATTTTACCGAAATCAACAGCTTAAAAACTTACGACTTCTCAATTTTCTACACAACCATTCCTCACAATAAATTAAAGTCCAGGCATTTTGATATTATTGACAGCTGCTTTTTCAATAAAAATGGGACTTGTAAATTTACTTCCCTGGTCATTGTTCATTTACAAAATTATTTTGTTAAAACACATTCTGATTGCACACACAAGTACTCTGAAGTTGACATCAAAGAGATGCTTCAATTTCTGATAGACAATATCTATGTAGTTTTTGGAGACCAGGTATTCCAACAATCTATTGGAATTCTTATGGGTACAAATTGCACTCCGTTATTAGCAGACCTATTTCAATATTCATATGAAGCAGAATTTGTGCAAAATCTTATGCATGAAAAGAAGAAAACACTTGCTGTGGCCTTCAACTCGATATTTAGATATATCGACGACGTATTGTCAATTAACAAAGTAATTTCTTTTCCAAAGTCGACACGATATATCCTGGAGAGCTTGGTAAAATATACCACAGAGTCTGACACATCTGTTTCATACTTGGATATTTTACTTGAAAAAGACGTAACATTGTTGCATTTTTAAAAAAAACATACATCCATCAAATCCAACTGAAAAACAAATACCTTTATAATTTATTATAATTCCATTCTTAATTTTTTTTATTGATTCCCTGTGTTTTGATTGGACGAGAACAAATTCAATAAAAAGATTACACATCGATGAATTTTTCAATCAGAACTACTTTCTTGACCTAGCTTTTAGGCTGTTGTAAAAACAATGAAAACCGATACTTCTAGTCCGTTTCAGCATGATTACAAGAAACTTGTAATAAAAAAAAAGCAAAACAGAGATAAACAGGACGGACAGACGAGAATATTATGCTTATGTCACTGTCGGATCACGAGTGTGAATTTTAAAAAATCGCTAATCATGCTGTCATTTTCTCGACGTTCCATATCAACTCAGTTGGTATCGTTGTGATTATAAGGGAAAAGAAACGTACCTCAGACTCTTGCCTTATCAGCATCAAATGCATATATTTACATCCTACAGATCCCATATTCTCCCCAAAACTTTGAACGAACCAGAGCAAATCGAGGACGTCGTCGGTCTCACCGTCTGCAACTTTTGCTATGAGCGTTGTGGTTAATGTCAACATGGCCATGGTCAAGGACGAATTATTCTAGAGAATACGCGTATTTACGATATTTGTTAACTTAAACAACATTCAATTAGTTTTTATAAGTTTATTTATTGATTGTTTTGACAATTTAAGTTGGATTTTATCGATATTCATCTTGTAAACGTTTCTTTGCGGCATAAAGTATTCCTACGCCGTACAAAATAGGTGTAAGGTGGCCTCAAAGAGAAATAATTTTAAAAAGTCGTAATTGGAATTATACGAATTAAACTTTTTTTTTTTTTTTTTAGAATTTATAGATGTGTAAAATCTGCCTTTTTACTCACAAACTTTACATAAAAGTGCTTCGCACTTAATTTCAGTTTGTGAGTAAAAAGACAGAGTTTACACATCTATAAATTCTAAGAAAAAAAAACGTTTAATTCGTGTAATTCCAATTACGACTTTTTTTAAAATTATTAAAATTATTTCTGAAAAAAAGAACGCTTAATCCTATAATAAAATAAGTCAGTCAAAACATGACCTAATAATGGGTCAATGTCATTGTAACGACCATAAAAATCAAGAAATGCTGATTTTAAATGAGGATGTTGGAATCCATTTTACATCATATCGTATTTTAGTATCGTACCTTATGTTTTGAACGCAATCAAAGAATGACATTGAGTAAATATTCTGTCATTACCATCATATGGTATTTATGTCTTCCAACTTATTCAAAATTCGAAAGCATACTCTGAATACGATCATTGCTTAAAGCAAGGCAGCCTACAGACAGCTTAGACGATGTTACAGGGGTTTCAACTACCATGTTTTATAAATGTTATCGTTAAAATGACTTTATTTGCAAATACAGCTTACATGTATCATTGCTTGGAATTTCTATCGATATATATTTAATACCATTTTTAGGCTTTTTTAAACTTAATTTGACGGAATACTCTGTCTACCTGACCAATACATATTGCTCACGGGGAGTGTGGCCGTTGGACAGGGGATGCTATTCCTCCAAGGCACCTGATCCCACATCTGGAATTTCCGGCATCCGTATTCTATGACCTTTTCACACATTTGAGGATAAGGGATTTTAGTTTAGATCGATCATTATTTTTTTACTTTACCTTTTTCATTCTCTCCTCAAATTGCTTTATATTAATATATATTGACATAAAAATTATTGCCGTCCTATGAAAGTGTTTATAACACTATCTTCAATTGTTTTGCCTGATTTACAAAATTATTTATTTATTTATCCAAAAGTCGTTGTTGTTTTAAAAGAGTGTCTAAATAAAAAGAATCATAACTTGTTTTATTTTTAAGTTTACAAATGAATATAAGCACAAACATAGATAATAAGAAGTTTATTCACATATTCTTCTGACAAAAATCAAAACAAATTTTACTGACAATGCGCCATGAAAATACTTAAACACTAAAAATGACCAATGACCAATGACATGAACAATATAAATTGTCGAATTTTCGGGACGACCTGTCCCATCCTCGGGACAAAGCAAAAAGTTAAGAAGTCATAAAAAGCAAAGGGAAAAACAAAAACAAATAGCACTACTACTATACCACTAGACACTAAATATTTACATGTTTCATGTTTAATTTGAAGTTTCGAATCAGTTGAGAAAGATATCCAGAGCGCTAATTCGTTTGGTCTATCGACATATCGGCCCTCTGACCATTGACCATAATCTGAATCCATTGGACCAATTATGGTTTGGGTGATTAAAATGAACTTGAACGTGAACTTAGAAATAATTACTTTTTGCTAGTTTTTTTTCTGAAATCCACGAATAATAATATATATTTTAAAGTACTCAAGCCTTCTTTACCAATTTAAATTTAATAAATTTTAAGGTCAAGATCTAGTAAATGAAAGATGCCTACAGATTTGTCAAATTTGAGAAATAAATTTCTTTGATGATGCTTTATAACTTAAGCTTGGTCAAATAAAGTGTTTCGGTGCATGATTTATAAGTAAACAAGATGAATAAAACATATGTTAAACTGTCATT